TTTCGAAAAAAGTTGAAAGAGTATTTAAGTATAATTGTTTGCGCTATTATATCAGCGGATGGAGCCTGGTCTAGTGGTTGATGTGAGTGTGCATGGGAGGGTGTGTGTGCTTGGTCTCAAGTTCAAGCTCTCTTAAGACCAAAAAGGCTCCTAGCTCTTTTTAATTTCCACCTTGACATGTGGGTCCCACTATGAGTTAAGAAAGATAGAAATTGAAGTGTTAAGATGAGCGTGGAAGTGGCTCCCAAATCCATTATTTGATTTCAAGAGGGAACTTTTATTCCCATTAATCCCTCATTCACGTGAAATGTTGCATGAGTGCTTGAGTCATTGCCCTTTTTTTTTCACTTTGCTTGAGTGGTGGGCACATGTTTTCTAGACTTAGGAAGCTTGTAAGTGACCTTGGGGAGGTTAAAACTTGGAGAGTGGAAAAGAGATTTTGGAAAGCAACCAAGTTGGTGAGAGAAAGGAAGAGCCACCCTAACCTTGGAGTTTTTGGAAGTCACTTGTAGGAGACCAAGAGGAGTGGAAGCTTGTTGTCTAGTGAGGAAAGAAACCTAAGAACCTTTGGAAGCTAGCTTGGAATTGAGGTAAGGGGTTTAACTTGGGATATAACATAGTCTATGATGGGTAGAAGGTAACAATATAATGTTGTTGCATGCTTTATTTCTTGTGTGTTGGGATTAAAGTTAAAATGTTGAGGCATGTACTTTTCTTTTGGGTTTAAGTTTCATGTGTTGTTGCATGGAGAATGGGTATTCACATGTTCATTTTCGTTTTTCTACTATATGGGGTAGTTAATGGATTATACATGTTCATATTTTATGAAAAAGTGGTGTTGTTGTAATGGGTATACATGTTGGATGTATTGGGGTGTTGTTTGTGTATGAAAAAGTGTCATGGGTACACTTTAAAATCATGTATTTTTGTATATCTTGGTTCTTATTACCTTGTAAGAATTATATATTGTTGGGAGCAATTATCTACACTCTTTAACCAAGAGTGTGGGTAAGAGGGTATTGAGAATTCTCTTCCATTGTTGGAAGAGGAAAGAATGAGTTATGAGAATGAGAGGAGTGAAAGAGATGTTTGGTGAGTTGGGGTACATGTGTTGATGAAAAACAGTGAAGAAGAATGAAAGTTTGATGTCTTGGGTAGAAGAAGAACATGAAAAGAGAAGAATGGAAGTGGGGAAGGTGAAGATGGGCACATTACAAATCACCCAACAGAGGCAAGAAGAAGTAATGAGAGTCTTGGGGTGGGAGTTGAGAAAGAAAGGAATGGAGTAGAGTCTTGGAGATTAACTTGGAATGTTATGGAAATGAAGAAAAAGAGGTAAGTGAAGAGTGGGGGGCTAACATTTGTAGGAGGCGAGAAGATCTAAGTGGTTTTGGATGAAATAGAAATGAAAAGGGGTGGTTTTGGTGCTTGCAAATTACGTAAAGTGTGTAGGTGTGAATTGTATTTTATGTAGAGTGAGAAGAAAAGGGAAGTCAATGTGGTTGGGAATAAACAAAGTAAAAGAGTGAGTAAAGAGAGGTGAGGCCGTGAGCATGGAAGAGAGAATAGTGAAATGAAAATTGTAGTGTTTAGGTGTGTGAAGAAGGGTTACGTAAAAAGCAAAGAGAAGTGGGAATAAAACAAAAGAGTGAGTAAGGGGTGTGGGACCATGAGTGTTAAATGAAGGAGGGAGAAGAGAAAAGGGGAGTGTGAGAGGAAGGGTTGCTACGTAAATGAAATTGGTGCATGGAGTGAAGTTGTAGTTTTAATGTATAAAATAGATTAAAAGGAGTAGAAGAATGGGAGTGGGGTCCACGGTTTTATTTGGTGAGAGAAGGGGGTGAGGTGGACTTGGTGTAGTTAAATGAAAAACAAAAGATAAAGAGAGAATGAAAACAAAGTTACGTAAAAGTAAGGGATAAGGAGAGAGAAAGAGAGAGTTTGGTGAGAAATGGGTGGTTCCATGTGGGACCTACTTTGAAAGTGAGAGAGAATGTAATTTAATAGCCTTGGGACCTACTTGAAGAGTTAGATGTAGAAGGGAGTGTGTTTAGAGTAAAAAGGGTGTATTGAAATTAGGTGTTTTCTTTGGTGTTGGGAATTTAGTAAAAGTGGGGGTGCACTATAAATGTTGTTCTAGTTTATGGAAGTGTGAAATTAGTAATTTCAGAGGGGTGCGGCAGTAGGATAAATAATTAAATTAAGTTATTTAATTATTTGTTAGTCAATGAATTTAGTTGACTTTATATATGATGGTGATGGTTGTGATGGTAAAATTGTGAGAGCAAGCGTTCTGTCATTTCCTTAGATTTTTTGTCGAATTGATGGTGTTCGTATTGCGATACGATAGTGTGTTGAGTCTCTGCGGAGACTGAGGTTCGAGTGTCACCCTTTCCTTGTGCGCGGGGACTAGAGAGGGTTGGATGTCTCGTCCAATGACTTCGGCTCGTGTGAGTATAGTGCTCGGTGGGTGCGCCTAACCGAAGTTTTTACTCGTAATTCCTTGAGGAGTTGGGGAGATAGGTCTGAAGTTGCGATGGAAGACGGCTCGAATCGCCCTGTTTTGCGAAACAGGTTTGGTACGACAAAATTCAAGGAAACAACAGAAGCTCGTGTAAATGATTGAGTCGTGAGTTTAATACTGTGATGTATTGTAATATTGTGACTTTGATAGTCTGAGTGGTGATGATCTAAGTCATGAGTTGAATATTATGTTGTATTCTAAGGTTGTGACCAGGATAATCTAAGTTATGATATTTTGATATTGAAATTATATGCTATGTTAGGTTCTTTTTTACTCACCCTTTCTTTTTGTGGTTGTGGTTCCACTTACTATGATCGTACTTGTACGGGAGTAGATGGCGTTGCAGATGAGGCAGAGATGAAGTAGCACGACGAGAGTTATGGGAATAACGATGGAGGACTTATCATGTTTTAAAGTAATTTTATGTCTTTGAATAATGAATTTGATATTTGTAAGGTTTTAACCTTATGTTGTAAGACTCTTAGACTTTTGATGGTTTAGTTCCGTGATGTTAATTTTAAAAGAAAAAAAAACTGGCGTAAAATTTTGGATTTTGTTATTTTCTAATGGCACTCCGTAAGGGGTGTTACAGCAACCCAGCTCGTTGTGTGAATACACAGAGAGTACCCCCAAACCCCAAATCTCTCGCTCAGCGACCCTGCTCGCTGTGCGAAAACAGAAACAGTGGGTTCTGCTCACTCACCTCTCGCTCAGTTATACTCAACCAAGTGTGTTTAAACCTTTCTAAACTCATTTTTAACAAATGGCTACAAGATCTCAACCAAAAACTCACAAAAACTCAACTTAGAGACTCAAATTGAATTATACCACTTGTGGCACAATTTCAAACACCTTATGGACTCTAACAAGTCCCAAATGACTTACTAAGACTATCCCCACTGACCATTTGAGCACAAAACTCCTAATTCAAGTTTTCACTAGTTCACTTTCTCAAATTGAGTTTTAAACCAAGTAGAATTATACACATTCACAACCACACACTCCTAATTCAAATTTCTACCATTTTAAAGTGTTGAACATGTCTCTAACTAGTTCCTAACCAACCCCAACTTCATCCAATCAGTTCATCAATCATTCCTCACCATTTCACTACCTTAGATCCTATTTTAGACCAAATAACCAACAACCAAGATTACCATATTTCATTTAACAACTTAATTAGCACAATTCACTTCATCAAGATCAATTTCAACATCATAAACATACACACAACAGATTCCACATGTTTACAACATCCATCAACATACAAAACATGAATTTCACCCAATTACTTAAATTATTACTAACACAAAACAACATTTTTCCAGTTAAACAGTTTAATCCTCGTATACCATCAAACTCACACCACATACTTTAATTAAAAATAATTATCTAGCTTCCCTTACCTCTAAACCAACTGCCAAACTTCTCAAAACACTTCGTCGATTACTTGAACCACAAGGAATGCCTAGACGAACCTACGAAACACCAAATTAGAAACGAACAGAGTTCTTAGAACTCTAGATGAATCAAGAACATGTAGGAGATGCATGACTACACATGCAACAATATAATATTCCTCTAAAACAGATTTAGGAATGAAAGGAGAAAAATGAGTCGAAACTTACTTGCTCTATTGAAGAAAATGACCAGCTAGAAACGTAGACTTCGTTGTCGTGGTCAATTGGGTACCTCCTGATCGTCAAAGAGATGACTCATGAGTTAGAACTCTTAGAGAAAAGTGATTTCTAAAGAGTTGGTACATTTTAAAATAATGAAACTCGTTTATAACAAAACTATTTATTATAAAATCGTTTAATATTAAAATAATCGAGTTTTATTTTTTTTAGACTACCATCACTTTTAAATATACCATTTTTTAGGGTTTTAGAAATCATATATTTTTAGTGTAGCTTTTACTGTTTATTGATTTATGGAAACTAACTACAATAAAACATATTGTTTACATTTTTAAAAACATAATAATATGTGACTTTGGGTGTAAACATATTTGATTTTCAAAATGTAATTTTACATAATTACATATAATACAATCCGATTAACATGAATTGAACTCATCCATTCTTAATTCGGTTGATTTGGATTTGTAAACAAATTTCTAAACCAGTAAAAGTTAATTGGTTCGATTTTTATTTTTCTCTAAATCTAATATAATTTGAATCGTGAAAATTCCCTAGTTTTTATTGAATCTCTGTTCACATCGTTGAAGTTTTATTTATTTATTTATTTCAAGCTCACTACAACTTAAAGTTTTATTAATTATGTATTTTATAATAACTACTGTTCTAGAACTTATTAAAAAATACGGTTCAACAAAAAAGTAAACGAATTTTATACTTTCCATTAATAAAATTACTATTTGATTTAGTACACACACACTATTAATACTTCACACTTAATAAAGCACCTTAATTTGTTTATATTGAGATCAAACAAGTTTAATTTTGGAAGTGCTGCGATGATGAAACGACGTGTCGTTGGGAATTGGGAGAAGCATAACATATCAGACTTGGGTTTTGCCCGAAAGAAACTTCCCGCTCTCTCGTTGGTTGGTAGCATCAGTGTCTGCAGAAGCATTGAAGGTATGTAGCAATTAGCATATGAACATTTCTTTCAATTTGGTTTCAGCTATATATATAATCTTCTTCTCGACACTTGCTGGTTTTGTTCCCGCGCACAACATGTTCGATCAATTGCTTCACTGAAAATGGACACTGACAAACCGTTTTCCTTTCTGGGACCAGTCCTGTTTTCATTTGAAATTCATCCCTGAAAATGAGCAGTTCAAGGGAGAGCTCCCCGGATTGGTTGCGTTCTTTTCAGGTATCAGTTTATGTCTGTTCAATTAACTAACTTATCAACTTTCCCTTTGCTGTGTAATTATTACTATGTTCATTGTTCAATTGCAACCTTGAATTTTAGCACCAGTTCCTTGTGCCTCTGCCATCGCAACACCTTGCTTTCTTCCTAGCTTCTTACGTCTTTGTTTGTCGTACAAAAAACTTTGTATCCTTGACTAGGTGCCGTCTCATTCGCCTTTGGCACTGTCCTCTGATTCTGGGTCTTTACGGGATGGTAAATCTCGGATTGAGGATAAAACTGACAATGAAGGGTCTTCTCCAAAGTCTTCCCAATCTTTGAAGGTTACCGGAAGCAAGAGAAAGACACCAGTGAGTCCAGAAGTTGAAAGTCAAACACTATCCAAAAGAAAGAAATTAGATAAGAAGAAGGCCAATGAAGGTACATTTGAGATTTGATTAGCGCTTTGTCAGAGAATAAAAAGTGGGAATAGAATTTAGTAGGGGTAAACCTCAATCCTCATTATTCCAACCCACCAGTAAAGCACAGTGTAATGTTCAATTTATACAGCAAAGTAAATACAAGAGATGATTCTAGAAAGGTTAAATAACCATCCTAACAAATAAAGCAACAAATAGACTATGCGGTGGGGTAAAGGGAATAGTGCCAGCTGTGATAAAAACAGAAAATGTGTCTTTCTCACACGCTTTGGTGTTCTCCTCAGATGGCTATGTTGACCTATTTAGATAAACTTTTTCCGTAAGTATTTGTAAGAGAGAAAATGAGATGAGTTTATCTAGAACTTAACACTAACTTATACTAAGTGTAAAACTTTTCTCATGTTAGTTTTTCCAAAAGCTTATTTTAAGTACATATGTGTGCATAAACTAATTATAGCTTATTGCGATATTTATTTTATATTTTTCTCTCATTACTCATGGGGAAATTTATCTAAACAGGTTTAGGTTTTATGGTCTTGGAGATCAGTAACATAATATTTACGCAAGTATGATAAAAATAAAAGTCAACTTACATACAGTTTTAGAATTTTAGTAAAAAGAATGACAGGAGTATCGGGATGTGAGAGTTGTTTCTCACTTTTTATCAATTGTAATTTTGTCATTTGTTATTGTGATCCAGGAAACAAAGAGGGGAAAAAATCAGCGAGTGAATCAAACATCGACAAGAATATAGAACATAAAGTAAGAGCCTTTTCTTCGCCTCTTTAATTTTCAGGGCATATTCATATAGATTTAGAAGAAGAAAGAAACAATTTATATGCTTTAGCATATTTCCCGTATCTTGACTTATGATTTCGTAGATTCTTCGGGCATCTCAATATTTCTCATGATTGCTTTTAATATCAAACGTTTTTTCTTAGGGATCTATTCATTCAGTTTTGACACTGTCATCAGATTCTGAGTCATTCCATGATCATAGCCCAAAAGGAGATCATACTGATCAAGTTAAAACCTCTCAGCCACAATTATCAGGTGAAGAAGACAGTGCAGATGGACTTGTTTTTAGAAATGTGGGAAAGTATCCATCCAAAAAGGATTCAGAAGAAAAGTCTTCACAAAAACAAATAGATACCGACAGTCATACACCAGTTAAAGGGAAGAAAATTAAAGGAAGTGAAAAGGGAAAAAGTAGTGGTGGAGATGTGAATGTTGAAGAGGAAGAAACTTTTGGAAAGCTTTCTGAATCAAATGTAAGAACGGCTAAGGTTATAGTAACTGTCTAAAAAATGTTTCAGACTTCAAAACTTGAATAAGTATTAATTATTGAAGGTCACACTGACTTTCTTATTTTAGGCTGGCATCCTGACTTGTGCTTGTTATATGTGAGTTGCAGGTTTCCTCCAGCAGGTTGCCTTTGATGCTTTCTGAGAAAGTCCATCGTTCAAAGGTTTGGTGACAACTTTATGTTTTGGGTCTTCCTTTACTGTTTTGTACCGTCTTATAATTGTAAGGACCATTGTTTAGTGTTGTTATTAAGACATCCAAATGAGTATCAAAGGTTTCACTTTTAAAAATAAATAAAATTTTTGTGAGATGCCTAGTTGCTAGTTTGGCTTCTAGCTATGTTTTGGGTTGACAGATCTTTACTTTCTTGTAAAACTCACATGTTTCCTCTAGTGTTGATTCTAATTTCTCTCTTCCTTACTTCTTATTCATGATAAAAGGAGCCTTCTGTTTTTTCAGGCACTCATTGAGTGTCAAGGTGATTCCATAGATCTGAGTGGTGATATGGGTGCTGTTGGACGGATTATAATTTCAGACTCACCATCTGGGGATCAGGAAATGTATTTAGACTTGAAAGGTATTTTAGTTTAAGTTTTCTGATTAATACACAAATTGTAGCCTCTTATTCTTTATTATTTATTGAGACAAGCACATATGTCTCAATCATAACACTGTAGCATGCATGTATGCAGAACCATAAACAGCTAAACTATTTTCGGGCTATTCTGATTGCTACATGTTGGTTTTGCATGAAATACCTTGCTCCATGTTTTCGAAAATGTAAATCTCAGACTGAACCATATTTTCCTTTTATAAATAGATAGATATTTGCTAGATGGTTTGGGCATTTATTGGAAAGACCTATAGAAGGCATAGGAAGGACACTAGAAGAAATGGAAGGTAAACCGGGTGTAAATGTGCGGAGTTCTTCAAGCTCGGGTTTGTTTTGAGAAAATAATTGAAGGCTTAAGCTTAAAGCTTAAACTTGAATGGTTTATTTAGATGAGCCTAATTGAAAACTTGATTAAGTTTGAGCTTATCTTGTTTTATTTATTTATAACAATTATTTTTGTTTTCTATTTTAATATTTTTTTCTATTTTTTACTAAAATAATGATGAAAAGTAAATAACAGATTCTTTTATAAAAATTCAGTAGAAAAATATATATAACTGTTTCATAAAAATTATTAGTAAGCTATTCACAAGCCCTTAATATTTGATCTTTTAGAGCTTCAACTCGGCTCATTTTAAATAATCAAACATAATCTCAAGTTTGGGTTTGCTTATTTAATTAAGCAAACAAGTATAAGCAAATAACAAAGGGAGTTCAAATTCGGCTAATTTATATTCCTAAGGGTAATCGAATCAGGAGAGGAAGAGGGATGTTGAGAAAAATGGTAAGCAAAATATTTAAGTAGGAAGTTAATAATTTGTCTGAAAACATAATTCCCATTTTCTTCGTTGTTGAGACACTACTACTTGATTGTGACCAGTGACAACCTGCATCTGATGGTTCACATTTTCCTCATCTTTTCAGGAACAATATACAAAACATCAATAGTTCCTAGCCGGACGTTTTGTGTTGTATGTGAAGTTATCTGTATTTAACAGCACTGAAAGTTTTTTATTGGGACAATCTCCTTGTATCCAGTTTTTTTTTTCTTCAGGATATCATAACGTTTTCTTTATCAAGATATATCCTTCAAATATTGTTTTAACATGAGCTTGTATTTTGTTTTTCAGGTTAGTTTTGGGCAGTCAGAGGCCAAGGTCTGTTGGTTATCTAGTATCTACTTATTTACTATATTATTCTCTATAAGTACTGCTTTATTAAGTTAGTAAACATGTCCGCATTTGGCTTATATTTTATTCAATATTTGATGTTTTTACTCATTAGTAATTTAATCAGCCTTGCCAAGGATTTTGAAAATATATATGTTGTCATTTAACTTGTTATTTATTTCAGATCGAGGCCATCATGAATGATTTCATACAGCTGAAGCCACAGTCTAATGTGTACGAAGCCGAAACTATGGTTGAAGGTTATTTGCATCTGCCAACTAATTGGTCTTTTATGTATGATAATTTATTATCTTTATATATCCTGCATAAATTCCTTTCCTCACATCTATTCCTTTCCTTTGAGAAGGGACACTGGATGGTTTCTTCTTTGATTCGGATGAGGAGGCTGGCAAGATGCAGAAATCAACCAACCAAACTGATCAACAAGAGAATGGTGAGGAACAAGCTAATGGTAAATCCAAAGGGAAGGCTGACAAAACATCAGTAAGTTTCCTAATAGTCATTCTTGATTTTAGATTTCTGCTTTGGGAATGAAAATGATGGTGCGTGCTGCATACTTAATTACTGAATATCTGGATGCAGGGTGCTGAAAAGAAAAGAGGTAGAAATACAGGAGGAAGAGCACAAGCAAAGGTAGCAAAGAAAAAAACTCCAGGTTCCAAAAGGTCAAAGACCAAGAAATGAGTCAAAGAGGCTCTCTGTAATATGTTGTATATGTGATGCACCAATATAACTCAACCCTTGGATTAAAAGAAATTCTGAATTACTTTTCCCATGATCGAGATGGCGATAGTAGAATAGCTGCTGTTAGAGTTTTTTTCAAACCCCGCACAGTAGAATTGAAAGCTTATAATCTGTGGAATGAGTTCTCAGAAATTCCTTATAAGGTTTATTTTATTGGGCCCAGTTTCAATATTACTGATTGTAATTTCTTTCCAGTGAACATCATTTATCGTTTCTTTTAATTGATCTCCATTAGCCGGCTATTATCATCGAGAAGGTACACTTTTTTCGCTAAATTTCTGCAGAACATGTACTATAGAATGAGAGAATGAATTTGAGGTTCCTGGGTTACATTGTTTCCTTAAATTTTTTTTGCAAGATTTCCTAGCTATCTCGAGAGAATAATCAGTAGACTGGAATTATGACCGGATGCTGTTTGTATGATATCCATTAGTTCTTAATAAGCCCCCTAGCTTACCACTGGAGCTTTAGAACTGTACTTTCTGAATCATTTGTTCACAGAGGGTTCTTCAACTGTAATATTTCCGTGGTTCATCATTTCCGTCTCATTGATTTGGCCATTTTTTTCCCTTCTGGAAATCCCTTGAGGATATCTTGTTGATTTTTTATATCATTTGCCGTGTGTTACAAATGCCAAGAAAGTAAGAGTGAGAACCAAGAGAAAGATTGGCGCTGGAAAGGGTAATAAAATATTTGTTGAGGAAGTGACCTGGTGATGCTTCCAATAGGGCTGTCTAATTGGTGGAGGTGGAGATGCAGGATTTGGTCTTCCGATTCTGTGTGGTAATGTAAAATGTTAGTAATGGTTCTTCTCCTGTGAAAGTATGGAAAATTGGAAATAAATTGAATGGGAAAGGAAATTAATTGAATGAGTGCGATGATGTGTAGTGTGTACCCGTTGCTGTTGGGACAGAAAACAATATCGTATTCGTATGCTTTGCAAGTGAAAGTGCTGGTGCCATCGTCAAACGCATAGCTATAAGCTCTTGGACAAGCCTTCTTGAATAAGGTTGAATAATATGAAGGCTGGCATGTATTTGGATTTGCAAATTCTCCACTGCAGCAGTACTTATCCAACTTGAATGCCTCACAAGCACTCCTACACCCCACTACCCCTTGATTTTGGACACCTCCTAATACTTGAAGTTCTGCTGGGCAACCTGTACCGTTTCATTTGTTTTAATTGTATGTGGTACCCTTGTGATGCCTTCTGTTATTTAAGTATCTAATTATATATTTGTGCATTAGATAAACTCTTACCTCTGTTAATATCAGTAATACAACCTGTCGCATTACAGGCACCACCATGTACACCTCGTGGTAGAGCGAGTAATGGCAAATTGTAACCATCTACCATGCTAACATCATAGTAGTCTTGTCCATTGCCTGCACCAAGTGTTATCTCAAACAGTGAGGTAGGAGGAGCAGCACCATTTCCCTCACATTCCAGCCTTCCTCCACAGTCACCTGTTTGGCATCTGCCAACTCCGGCCGCATCAAATTTACAACCAGTCCTTGCCCATATCCGTCCTGACCAACCTGGGACAGTCGTGAGTTTGATGCTTTGACCCGTGTCCAACCGGAATCCGGTTGTTGCAAGTGGAGGACTCCCTGAACCTGCAAGTGTGCCAGGCCATATAGTTTGTGGACAGTTGTTGATGATGGTGAATGTGTATGAGAAAGAACAAGTCAAGAATGTAAAGAGAATGAGCAAACTGGTTAGTTTCCAGGATGTCTTTGTTGTCATATTCAAGGATTTTTATAGCTGGTAATATTGAGCCTAAGAGACTAGAGGGATTGTCTTTTATGGCCAAGGGAATGGACAATGCCCCTAAGATTTGTAATTTATACTATTCTGAGAGAGGGAGTTGTGTGCTAAATCAGTTATGCATTACAACAAACAAACACTAACGTTGCTTTCGTGAAATCCTCAGTCACAAGACCAGCTTTATGGGTTTAGTATTTCTTATGTTGTGGATGGTCTCATCTAGAAGCAATTCTTTGCTTTTGTTATCGCATGGGAAGTTGTACAAATCTGGAATTCTTAGTGACCCGATCGGATAAATTGTTAATTTCTTCAAAGAATCGTTTCAGAAGATCTGAGACTACCCTATAAGATCTTGGGAAGGGATTACCATAAAAAAGGGTGCCACTATTCCTCCTAAGTAAACAAGACTAGGTCTCTCAGGGAGCATCTGATCATTGGCATGTCATATACGTCAACTTTTGAGGAAGCATATCCAAATATGTACTTTCTATAAAAATAAATAAATATTGCTTATAAGATTACACAAATATAAATATCTAATTTATAAAAAAAATAGTAATCACAACTTTTCACAACAGATAGAGTTATTGAAGCAACTCTACCAAAGTTACTCCTGAAATATATCTTTAATCCTGGCCAACGAAACGTATACTTCATCACTTTTAAGTACCATTTTATATATTAAAAAAATCATTACGCTCTTTCCGTTATTTCTTATGACGCATGGAGTGGAGTTCTCTTTATTGTAACTTGTTAAGAACCTTTTAAAGTAATATAACTCTTTTAAAATGGAGAGTGCTCTAAGAATAAAGAATAAAGTATAAAGTAATAGCCCTATAGGAAAACTAATCATTTCGTAATTAATTATATAGTACACATATTTTCAATAGTTTATTTCTTTTTGTTGAATGGCTGGCTAGTTATCACCCAATAATTTACCATTTAAAGTGTTTTTATAAAAGGTTTAATCATCTTGGATATTCTTATTTGTGCAGATTTTTTTTCAAATAGGTCATCTAAAAAATGTTGTGCGTGGGAGAATGACATGACCAAGTTTTACTGACGTGACAGAGTTTGGTCGACTGAGTTGTATTTGTTTTATTTACATATTTAAAAAACTTGAATGAAATCAAAACGCAACGTTATTTCTAATTTCCTTTTTCTTTATTAATTTATTTTTAGAATCCAAAGCTTATTATTTTTAATTCTCTTTGTCTTATTATCACACATTTCATTGACAAGGTGTTGCTGCTCTCACCAGCCCTCGTGACCCTATGACGGCATCCACCACCATCTCCATTGACGCCACCCGCCACCACCAACAACCACCATGAAACCCCAAATTCGCGAAACAAAGGAACCCAAAACGAAAAAAAAAACAAATTCAAGGGACAACAAGAAACCAAAAATCCTTCCTTTCAAACTCAATTATAGGAATCAGATTCCAAGACATAAAATCCCTGAGGTTTTCAAATTCCAAAAACCCAAAAGTTTCTAGACCGGAAACACGACGCACTCCACTACCGCGCCGATACCTCTAGCAACACTACGTCACTGCTGCCTTCACCTGCCACCGCGACACTGTCTACACTCCACCCGCCTGGTTCAACGAACTCGAGCCCCTCCTCCTTACGACCACCGCGCCAGAACCTAAAGAAGAGATAGGAGAAAACAGAGCCTCCGACTTGCGAAACGAAGCAAGGCCAAAAATGATTTAGGGAAGGAGAAGTTTCTGAACGAAAAGAAAGAAAGGAAAAGACGAAGTGGGTGCTCGTGCTCCCCTAATCTGCTTCTCGTGTGAGACGAAGAGCGTCATGATTGAGTTTTGTTCGAGAGAAAGAATGAATAAAGAAGAAGAAGAATCCAAAACTGGGTTTGACTATGAAGGAAGAGATTTAATTTTTTATAATTCGATCTTAATTCTAATTAATTCTTAATTATAATATGGTTTTTGATTTCATTCAAATTTTTTAAATAGGTAAATAAAACAAATCCAACTTCGACCAAACTCTGAAAACATTTTTTGACGTCGTCCAATCAAATTAACAACAAAATCTAAATTGATTCAGTTTTACATAATAAAAAACTTAATTAAGACCATTTAGAATACGAAGACCTATTTGAGAAAAACCTGGATAAATTGACAAGTCCAAGATGATTATTTGCCAAATCTTCAAAGAAAGGGTACGCCGAAATGGAAATTATTTGCCAACCAATCATGTACCTCGTTGCTTTGAGGATAAACATGAGTTCTTCTTCATCTGGCATTGCCAACGTTTCTTCAAGAAACATCGAATTTAGGGAAACAATTGAAGGATAATGATGCGAACTTGGATGGCCAATTAGCTACCAAGAAATCCGCAGCACAGGGTAAATCAGCTTCCAAAAAGAATTTATCTAAAAATCAATCGGTATGGGTGAAAACTTTCATCAGAAATTTTGATGTTTTCTAAAGTAAAGATTCTATACTACACCTTGTAAATTGCAATTTTCTTTATTTTCTGTTTTCCTTCCAGTTGTGCCTTAGGTTTGTGTGATAAAAATGCTTTGAAACAATAACGGTTAAATTGTTAAGAAATAAGTTATATAAATGAGGGAAAACAGTTAAAAATGTATGAATGAAAAAGAGAGAATAATAGAGTACAAGTGCTGCAAATTTCATAATTTTTTTTTAAATTAATTTTCTTTCTCTTTCCCACCAAACAATCTAAGCTTTGACAATTCCAAATTTCATTAACTGTAAAAGGTGATACAATGTGACAGAGAGATTATATATGCTTACAAGCCTGCTGCATTCAAATATCATGATACAAACTTAAAATCTGCCTGGAATAAAAGCAAAAAACTTCGAAGAAAATATCAACTCTGAAATGAAGAGCTTAATTTCATATTTCAAACAAAGGAAAGATCACTTAAACCTCCAATATAGAGGGTAGGGTTGACTGAGACCGACTGCTGATAATTTGAGTATCCCGGAACAAGTCACTTTAATCTGTTCAATCAATTTCACTGTCAACAGGTAAGACATGACACAGTGGAAGACAAATTCATCTGGTCATACACCAAAATGTTCAAACTAATCTGAAATTGAGCGTGCCAGTTTTTTCAACTTTCCCCATTGCGTCTTCATCCACCAAAACTTGTTGAGGTATCATAACTCTCCTATGCTCAACTGTTACATCCCCTCCGTAGAAGCTGCTTTATCTCACCATAAACCTCACTAGAGGATAATTTGAGCATTAGAAGTATCTAAGCATGTACCTACAAGAAAACAAGAAGACAAATATCAATATTTCAACTTCTAGCATAGAGCAATTCCATATTAAAATATGTCATTAAGTATTGCAACACAAATGTTTTGAATGCTCCTTGGTAGCACAAGCTTCAAAACCTGCACAAGTCACACTAAACTCAAGACATCCAGACATCAGTTAACTCATGGAACGAATAAGACATAAGTAAAAGATGAATTAATGAAAATATGGACTCTCATCTCCGTTGAGTCTGCAAAAGAACAAGAAATTAGGCAGCAAAATAAAAATAAATAGTATTCACATGCACAGCAACTTTGTCCATGTGAGGAACTGGAGAGAACCTGAGCTTACAGAAGTCAAGTTAATTCAACACAACTATGAATTAGGTTATCATCCTAAGAGATAAGATTGATAATCATGTGTTGTTCTAATGGATTTGAGGGAAATAAAAGGAGTAGAATAATACAACTCAGATCAGAGGCAGTGGTCTTAGTAATGAGTACACTAATACTCGAATAGCTCTGCCCTGCGATTAAAGAAACACTAGAAACTTGACAGCAGGCTAGAAAATGTTAACAGTGTAGTACATCGTTGATACAAAGCACACCATTCAGATCCAACAGTCTGCTTCTCAACAAGGTTAACAAAAGAAACTGTAATCAGTTCAGATTTCATAACCATCTGAATACTAAATAGAGCCAGCTCAAATCCCCATTCAACAGTCAACTACATTAAGCACTACATTACATTGATACTAGAAATATAAGGAGTTCCTACAATAGATGAACATTCATGTCCACCAATAAGCAGTCCATATAATTGTTCAAGTTCCGTTATTCATACTCATCTGATAGAAAAAGGGGAAAAAGGGAAAAGTGAAGTGCAATGATAAAAGAGTTTTTCCAGTTATATAGTATATGTCTAGCTCATATCCATGCCATCTCCAACTTGGCTGCAGATAGGACTGACAGCAGAGAAAGATCTCTCAAAGGGAGAAGGGTGGAATTGGGCATCGCCCCGTCTACGCTTAAAACCACAGCTTTCGGTAGGAGAATTCTCCGCCGCATCATGCTTCCTTCGAACACCTCTCACGGCCTGTTGCTCTGCCGGTGTAAGGGGGAAAATTTGACCACTAGCTCGACAAAGGGAGCTATGGTTGTCATACAGAATTCTCTGGTTACAGTTTTTATCACAGATGTGAGTGAGCCCAGTTAGCTTGCAGCGATACATGTTTCCACAAACATGTTCATTTTGACATTTCCAGTCGCATTCGTGACCAGGAATTTGACCATCTCGACCCATAATACTCGACAGAAAAATAACATTTGCAGGACCTGCAACCATAGATTTGCCATATACCTCCATTCCTTCAGTCAAGACAGCAACTCCTAAGTAATCTTAACACACTCCAACTTCAAGGCCTTTGCCTGAATTCTCTGCATGGCCCACCACAACAGCACACATTTCAGTCAAACTCAACAATATTCATCCTCTACTTACAAACATACATAACAACTGACACTCTACAACCAAAATCACCTTTTTCCCTTCTACAAAGGCTCACTCAACAATAATATCTCATTCTCGTTCACAAAACGCCACGGATATTCGGTGAACAGCCGTTGACAAACCATATTCAGAAATCATCAAATTAAACATCACAAAACACAAATCTGGAATCTAATTGGTGAACAGAATCATATACTCAACTGCTCCATCTACCTTTGACAAACACTCCCATGCGACAACAGATCTAAACCGTACCCAAGTGGGATTTTCAAAACAACAGACAACGCGACAAACACACGCGCTCTGTCAAAAAAAAAATCCAAACTTTTCCCTCCCACACATCCAAATCAAAATTGTTTTACAAATACATTTAATTTAGAATCATAACAGGCTGAAAAAAGATATAGGGAAGGGAAAATAACTCACGCGTTGTAGAGCTAAGTGAAACACAGAGATATAAAGTCTTCGTGGTCCTTCCGTGTACCTTCAAAAAGAAAAAGAGAAAACAACAAAAGAGAAAAAGGAGTATTCTCTCTCTCTCTAACTCTCACCGCAGAAGCTATGCGAAGAACGTAAAATTAAACAATGAGATAAGCGGAAGGAGTGGCGTATTTATAGAAACTCGGCGCTGAACGCTGATGGTGGTGACTTTACACTTGTGGGGTTGACGCCCCCACATAGGACAAAACACACGGAAATCAAATGCAAACCAAATGAAATCCAAATTTTTCTCAAATGTAATTTCACCCCACTTTACCTACAATTTTGGATAAACCTACCCGATCCATTCAACGCTCTTTCTTTTTCTTAAAACAAGTTTTAATTTTAATTCAATTAATAACTCCACGTGATCAACGCCTACCTCGCTCTCTCTCTCACATCATTGGCTTAGCGTCTTAATTTACTTAATAAAACGGATTAAGAGGAGAGAGAATTCATGGTTAGAGACCTTATCCTCGTGTGTACCCACTTCACACGTGTAAGCACCGCCGTCTTCCCAGGTTCATGTATAGGGCTTTTATGGGCTTTTTAATGGGCCACGCCGTTACCCGAGTTCTACCCCAGTCTTCAAATGCATTACTTACAGTTATTCAGATTATTTAGACAAAGCTTTATTATAGGAGATTGAAACAAATCTGTTTAATAAAATTAATACCCAATTTTACCATTAGAGATTAAAAGTATATCTTATTCGACCTTTTATGTATATTTAAAATATGATAAAACTTTGAAAGTAAATTATATTTTAAATAAAATAACATATTTTAAAATTAATGATATGATATAAAATTATCTTAAATTTAAATTTGAATGATAATATTTTAAATTTCATTCAATCAAGTTTTATTAAGTAGTTTTTCAGTTTAGTATTATTTTTAATTTCGCCAAATTAATTTAAAATATTTAAACTGATATATAAAAATTACAAAATCTGCAGAAAAAACTTATTAAATATAGAAAATTCACATAAAAAATTGAAATGTTCAATTTTTCAATAGTAAAAAAAATATAAAATTATATATTATTACTTAAGAGTGATTTTTGAAATTAATTGAATTATTTAGATTAAAACATACTCTTCAAATAAAATCATCTCTAAAAGGTTATCAAATAAAATTTGTGAGAATTAGTATAGAATTGTAATGACGTGACAAATTAAAAAAATTTATTTCCAAATTCACTCTAATTTACCTCCAAATTCACTCAAATAAACGATAAAAAAATTTATCTTCAAATCCTCTCAAATCCCTTTAAATTCACTCAAATTCACTCAAAAAGAACAATACCTAAAAGATGAGTCTCACAAATTTTTAGATATTTATTCAAGTACTGTAATCTGATACATTTAAACAAAATCTTAGCTATTTAAAGATGAGTCTCCTACGATGAAAAAATAAAAAAATATTTTTTAAATGTATTTATACAAAAAACAAAAAATAATAATAATAGATTTTTTAATTAAAGATGTCGGTGAAAAGAAAATAATATAAATTATTTGTTCAATTCAAACATATTTAACGAGTAATTTGATTTTTTATTTCTTATTAAGAATATCTATATGATTGCTCATATTGAGTAGAATTTATTTATACACAATTAAAATATCTTTTTTAATTTTTATATGTTGACATGAAATTTTAATAATAAATTAATTAATAATATACTTAAACTCTTAAATATTATCTAAATAAGCACTTGTATTTATGTAATAAATGAGTGAATAAAATAAATTAATAACTAGAAACTATATTAATATAGGTTAAGTCTGAATTAGTAATTTTTTATTTGATATATATATTTTATGAGAGTTGCTCCCTCCACCACCACCAACCTCTCCCTGCACCTCTCCATACCTTATTTGCCTTTTTATAAAACGAATGTCAACATCCGTTTCACCTTCAACGGATGTTGACATCCGTAACATCCATTTACATATTTTATATTTTAGTTTATTATTTTTATTTAAAAAAAAAAACTTCAACGGATGTGGCCACATCCGTTAACGAATGTGCCACATCCGTTTAATAGATTTTTAAAAAGTTTTTTATTTATTATTTAAATAATAATATATAAATTAAAATAATAATAATTATTTTATTAAATAAAATAAAATTAATTTATAAATAATTTTTAAAAAATTAAATAATATTTATATATTAATTTAAAATATAAAAAATTAAAAAACTAAAAACTAAAAAACAAAAAAAGGCAACGGATGTCGATGTGGCACATCCGTTTTAATATATTTATAACAAATTTAATTATTATTTAAATAATAATACATAAATTAAAAATAGTAATAATTATTATATTAAAAATTAATTTATAAATAATTAAGTAATAATTTTAAAATAATTAAATTATATTTATATATTAATTTAAAACAAAAAAATAAAAAAACTAAACTAGAAAATAAAAAAGCCGCCACATCGTTAACGGATGTGGCACATCCGTTTTAATATATATATAGTAAATTTTTTAATTATTATTTAAATAATAATACATAAATTAAAATTAATAATAATTATTTTATTAAATAAAATAAAATTAATTTATAAATAATTAAGTAATAATTTTAAAATAGTTAAATAATATTTATATATTAATTTAAAACAAAAAAAAAATAAAAAAACTAAAAACTAAAAAACAAAAAAAGGCAACGGATATCGTCACATCCGTTAACGGATGTAGCACGTCCGTGGAAGAATTTTGTCTTCAACGGATGTTAACATCCGTTGAAAAAAAGGGGTGGGGTGTAGGATATTTTAAAATATAAAGGATAGTTTTGGAATTTTAAAAAAATATAGTGGTGGAGGGAGCAAAGTGGGGTGGTGTAGGGAGTAACCCATATTTTATACGAGGGTAGAGATGGTAGAAACAAGATGTGGCTTTTAGGATAGTGGGCTGAAAACAACTTTCATACATTGGATAAGAGGGGTGAGATTAAAAATTGAATAGGTGTTTATAGTAACCTCAAACATTCTTTCTCATACGGATACCATATGTGTATTAGAGATATAACAAATATCGGATACATTTATTTTAAACATAATAGGATATATATATATATATATATATATATATATATATATATTGAAAAGTATATAATAATTCTTAGAAACATAATATCTATATGATTAATATTGTATGTAGTGTGTCAAAATAGGTTAGAATTCGTTGACCAACTCGACTCACTACAGGTTCGGCAGGGTTGGGTTTGAAAAAACTAAAATTTTTTAATATGGGTCAATTTTCAATTCGACTTACTTAGAACCTGAGTCACCGGATTGAATCTATGATGAGCTGGATTGACTCACTAACTCACCTAGTTTAATTTAATTATTTAATATTTTGTGTTTTAATATTATTAATTAACATTTTTTTATTGTATTGTAAATGTGAATAAAGAAAAAAATGTTTCAAGAAAGTAAAATATTATAAATTTATCCATTCAAGATTATAATATTATAAATGGATAAGTGACACAAAAATTATCAATATTATAAACTTATTTATTCGTTTTTTTGGGTTTGTTTTTGAATTACTTTTGAGTTGTATGTTAATTTTTTTTTATTTTGAATTGTCTTTGGAATTTAACATAATTTTAGAGTGAAATTTAAATTTGAATTACAAAGAAAATGTAATTTTTTTATTTAGAAAAACTTATAATTAAGTAAGTCAATGAATCAACTCGTTTAATCCACCAACCCGTAATGGACGAGGTCAGATTCCAATTTTTTTAACTCGCTAATAAATGAACCGGATTGAGTTAGTTCACTAAGTAGCAAATTCATGATAAACCGGGCCGAATTGGATCAGATCGGATTGGACTGGGTGACTCGTTTTGATAACACTGAACCTAAACTAAAATTATATAAATTAAATATTGTAAACATAAAAAGTAACAAATTATTGTCATCATAAATTAGATACTTTGTTGATAAACAACCGTAAAATATTCTAAAGTATCATACACAAATACTGTCAAACATAAATACATGATCCAAATTGAAATATGAGTATATCATTAATATCCAAAGAAACCTATCTTAGTATGTAATCTTTCTTTTTTTACTTTTTTTTCCTAGTTATGCCTCTTTCGAAGATCATGCATGTGCAGGGTGTGCAGGGTGTGCTGGGTTGTGAGTGAAAAATAGTTTTTTTTTTCTTTTCTAGTTTGGACTTATATTTGGGATGTTTGATTATTAGGATCTCAAGTGAAGTAAACTATGAATTAATTCTGAGAGTTACTCCCTACACCACCCCACTTTGCTTCCTGCACCACCACATTTTTTTAAATTTCCAAAACTATCCTTTATATTTTAAAATATCCTACACCTCCACCTTTTTTCTTCAACGGATGTCAACATCCGTTAAAAAAAAAATTCTTCCATGAACGTGCCACATCCGTAAACGGATGTGACGACATCCGTTGCCTTTTTTTGTTTTTTAGTTTTTAGTTTTTTTATTTTTTTTGTTTCAAATTAATATATAAATATTATTTAATTATTTTAAAATTATTACTTAATTATTTATAAATTAATTTTATTTTATTTAATAAAATAATTATTATTAATTTTAATTTATGTATTATTATTTAAATAATAAATAAAAAATTTATTATACATATATTAAAACGGATGTGGCGACATCCGTTGCTTTTTTTTTTTAGTTTAGTTTTTTTATTTTTTTGTTTTAAATTAATATATAAATATAATTTAATTATTTTAAAATTATTACTTAATTATTTATAAATTAATTTTATTTTATTTAATAAAATAATTATTATTAATTTTAATTTATGTATTATTATTTAAATAATAATTAAATTTTTTTTATAAATATATTAAAACAGATGTGCCACATCCGTTGCCTTTTTTTTATTTTAGTTTTTAGTA